AAAAAAAAAAAAAAAAAGCGAGATGGGGTCTCACTATGTTGCCCAGGCTGGTCTCGAATGCTTGGGCTTAAGCGATCCGCCTGCCTCAGCCTCCCTCCGCTTTTAAACACCCTGTTGGGGGCGGCTACGGAGGCTCACGCCTGTGATCCCAGCACTTTGGGAGGCCGAGGCAGTTGGATCACGTGGGTAAGGAGTTCGAGACCAGCCTGGCCAACATGGTGAAACCCCATCTCTACTAAAAACACAAAAATTAGCCGGGACTGGTGGCGTGTGCCTGTAACCCCAGCTACTCGGGAGGCTGAGGCTGCTGTGAGCTGAGATCGCGTCATTGCATGCCAGCCTGGGCGACAGAACAAGACTCCGTGTCAAAAAACAAAACGAAAACAGCCCAGGGAGAGGCCTGACTCCCGCCATCCACGGCTGCTTCCGGCATCCACTGGGGGTCTCGGGACCCTCCCAAGGTGGGGTCTGCTCTAGTTCAGAAGCTCATGACGCCTTTGCGGGGTGCCCAGGCGCCCCGGCTTTGGGATCAGTCAGAATCAGGTCCGTAGCGCGCAGCTTTCGGGCTGGGAAGTGCCTCAGAACCTGGAAGATTCTCGAAAGTTCTGGAAGGTTCTCTGAGGGGGGGGGGTCCTCGCGAGCGATGACGCCTGTTTTCCCACCGAGGCCGGCATCCGGGGGTCTGAATGGAGGACAAAGGACCCGGAGCGCGGGAGGGCGGCGCCCGGGGGCGGCCACACGCGTCCCGCCGCCCGCTCTCCTAAGCAGAGTACTCGCGGGAAAACGGCGGAGGCTGCCGGCGGAAGGGGCGGGGCCCACTCGCGGCCGTGAACGCTGATGGGGCGGGGCCTGCGCGCGTTGGGAGCGCGCACGTCCCATTGGGCGGCGGGAGGCAGGGGGCGGAGCTTGGCGGCGCCGCGAGGCAAGCCCCGCCTCCGACCCCGCGGGGAGCGGCGGCGGCGGCGGCGGCGGCGGCGGCGGAGGCGGTGAGCGCGGGCGGCGCGGATGGCGGCGGTTGACGGGCGGGTCCTCCGCCGTTGGGGCCGCCGCGGCCTCCTCGCCCTGGCTCGGGGCGCCGCTCTAGGGAACGCTTGGGGCCGGGTGAGCCCGGCGGGATGCGTTCTTCTCTTCCGCCGGGCGGGGGCTGAGGCGAGGAGGCCGGGCCTGGGGGGAGGGGCGGCCCCGGCCTAGAGACTCCTCGGGGGCGCCTGGTCCCCGCCGCCATGCGTACCCCCACTTTGCCCGGACCCCCTTTTCCGTCCCTGCCGCTGTGGGCCCCCCAGTTTGCCTGGATCGCCTTTCCCGCCCTTGCTGCCGTGGGCCCTCCCTTTACGTGAACCCTCTTTCCCGTCCCTGCCGCTGTGGGCACCCCCCCCGCCTTGGACCCCCTCTCCGTGGACCCTCTCCCCCATACTTGCTGCCTGGACCCACGTCTCCTTCCCTGGATCCTTCCCCCACCGTGAAACCTCCCATCCCTGCTGCCTGGACCTTCCGCTCCACCTCCTCCCTGAGCCCCCCCCCCCCCCCCGTTGCGCGACTCCCCGGTTCCTGCAAGCCGCAACCCTCCCTCCCTCGCGAAAAACCTTTCCCTGCTGCCTGGACCCCGACTTGTGCTGCGGTGCCTGAAACGCCACCCCCACCTCTGCCGGGAACCCCCTCTTCCCTGCTGCGGGGGCGCCCCCCTGCGTTGCTGCTAAATTCCACCCCCACCCCCAAACCTCCTTTTCTGTTCTGTCAACAGCCAAGCCAGCCCTTCCCATTGGCGCCCTGAACGGCCTGCAGCTGTCCCGCTCTTGTCATGGACATGGCAGGCCCAGGGACGGGCGTTTTTCGGCTCTTATTTTGTGTGTGCGCGCTGTGGTCCGCTGTGAACGCCCCAAATTGGGGAGGGATGTGCGCTTTGATTGTGCAAAACGCCTCCCCTGCCGAGTTCGGAGGCAGGCCTTCTGCGCGGGGATGATTTATTCAGGAGCCTTTTAAAAATAAGCTAGACAGAACCTTCGGGAGGGACTGTGCTCTATTTTACTTATGAAAAAATGCAGGCGCCCTCCCCGGGTGCCGAGCCCCGCCGTTTCTGTTTGTGGGTCTGCTTTTTGGCATCGAGCCTCTCAATGCGGGACTGTGGATTTGAACCATCGACTTGAGGCTGAGCCGAGCTAACCTTTGCCCCTGAGGGCTGTGTGTCTGCGTTAATAACGTCGCAAGCACACAGTTTGATGAACCTCCGTGCACATTTCGTTGCAGGGCACACCCGCGTCAGACCTCGGAGCACTCTGTGCCAAAGCACCGCCGCTTGCCATATGAGTATAAATGATGGCGGATGCCAAGTATGTCCTGTGCCGATGGGAAAAGCGATTATGGCCTGCGAAGGTGACAGCCATTATTCCGCAGTTTCAGGAATTAGAAATGACTTTCGGGTGACAAGTAAAATCTTTATCAGGAGCTACCTAGGAGCTGCTTCAGTGAAGTGATGGAGCTAGGACGGCTGGCACTGATTCTCTTTCCCCATTTAGTAGGGTTTTGGTCTAGTGCTTCCAAGGTTACGCTTCCAGAAATGTCTTTTTTTTCCACGCTAGAAAAAAAAAAAAAAAAAAAATCAGGGCAGGCAGGCTGAAGAGGGAGCTAAGTGAAATCTATAAAGCTATGAAAAGTAAAAAAAAAAAAAAGAATCAGCTATAAAAAGGCATGTAAGTCTGTAACTCAAGGAAAAATCTGGCAAGCAGCCCTGTGATAGTAAATTATGGTTGTGTTCAGGGATGCTTTCCAGCAATTCAGTAGACAGTGCTCGCGCCAATGCAGAAGCCCGGGGCCGTGTCTTTGTCTGCCACTGACCTCTTGTGCCTCGGTTTCCCCATCTGTGAAACAATGGGGATCGGACCAAATACCTGAAATCCCCTGGTTGTAGACCTTCAGGATTACCTGCTGCATGTGTACGAAATGTTGCCACTGTTTCTTACTAGGTCAGCTGTTTTAATAACGAGGGTCTCCTTTTTTTTAAATGTAGGTTTTGGCCCGAACCAAGACTTCAACAAAAAATAAGAGAAAAAAGGAATATTTTCTAGATGTTCAAATCCTCTCCCTAGAGGAAAAGTTAAGTGTCGTGTTTTTTCTAATACTGTTTTTTCCTGTGTAGATTTCTGATACTTCCATTCCCTACCCCCACAAAACAGTTGAAGTCCACTCTTGATGGGCTTATCCACTGTTTACTTACTGTAATTCATTAATGCTCGTAATAATCTCATGAGAAACAACTCGTTTGATTTTATGTGAATTTGGAAGCTGAAGATATAAACGAGGCATTCTGTGAGATCTATGGAGAGATTGGTGCAAAAATTGAGTACATGTAAATTATACTAGTTTGTGGCTAAAATAGGGATTTTTTTTTTTTTTTTTACTGTTTCTTAATCATTGCCATGCCATAAAAATAGGGATATTTCCTTCCTAGAGATCTGTGTGTCTTCAGAAGCCTCTTTGACAGGCCCATCCGTTTTGAAATATTTGGTTTTTGAGCCTGTCACTCTAAACTAGGCTTCAGCATTCAAAAGGCAAATAACCCATGACCAGGCGGCACGTTGTTCAGCTCTGCGAGTGTCTGGCATTGGGGAGGCGTAGGTCGTCTAGAGTGACGGCAGCTCAGATGCCCATTCCCGTGTGATTGTGGCGAGGGTGCTTCTGCCGGGAGAATTCCCAGTTCGGGAGAGAGCAAGGAGACTCATCTCTCCGAGTCACTGGCTCCCGTCGCTCTTCCTTGCGGAGCTCCCCCTGCCCCACTCCTTCCTGCCTGCATCTTCAGAGCGGCCTCGGAAGCACGCCTGGTCCCCAGCTCACACTTTCCCTGCGGCTGGGAAGGTAATTGAACACTCGAGTTTAAAAGGAAAGCACATCCTTTTAAACTAAAACACACCTGCTGGGCTGTAAACAGCTTTTAGTGACATTATCATCTATTCTGAAAATCTAACAAAGGAGTTATTTGTGCAGTTGAAAGTAGGATTTGCCTCATAAAAGTCACAATTTGAATTCATTTTTACTCTTAAATCCAGCCAACCTTTTCTGTCTTAAAAGGGAAAAAAAAATATTCACCAGGGTTCTTTGCTGCCTCTAACCTCAGGCAGATGAATTCCTAGTTGGCTGTGACTTTTGGTTTAAGTGGAAGGTTGGGGAGGAAAATGCAATGAATTCTTTTGTTACCTGCAGGAAAACATGTTTGAAAATGTCTGGGTGATGGTGGCTGGTGGTGTATAATGTCGATTCTGTCTCTGCAGAATTCAGGTGAAAAGCACCGAAGTTGAGATCCTAGAGAAGTCTCACATCGAAGCCATTGCCTCCTCGTTAGGTAAGAGTGTATTTCTAAGTGGCCACTAGGTTTTAATAAAATAAGAGATCATTTGGGAGAAAGTGAAGGCTCAGCTTTTTGGGTAAAAATTCACTCTGTTCATCATGTTTTTCTTGATACAAGGGCACGTGAGTTCCCTGAGCTGCAGAAGGGAGCATGGGTCTGCTTTCTTAAACCTTTCCAGAATGTGCCCTAGAACCACGCCCATTCTTGACACCCAGAGTGGTCCCTGGTGAGCATCAAGGTCGTCTCATTCCTCCGTGGCCTCCAGTATACAAGACGTGGATGACTTTGCTTCCATGAAGCGGGGCGGTTTTCCTTTTTCCTTTGCTCTTCCTGTAGTGAGACTCCCTGTGGTTCTGTCTGCCTGGCCCGTCTGATCTCAGTACAAGGTTTGAGAAGCAGTTGGTTGTGTGTGTAAAATTCCAGAGCGGAGCCCAGTGGAGGGAACGGGTGGCCCGGCACTGGAGTTGGTGGCGCCCTATTGTTTGAGCCATTGTCATGGTGGGCATGAGGCAGGTTAGAAGTGGAGATCTCAGCTTCCCGTCCACCCTGGTGTGCTTTCTCCCGGGCCCTCAGTTCGGCACCCGCCTCCTTTGCAGACAGTGGGTGAGAGAGGCTTTGCCTGAGCCCAGCCAGGGACATGTCACGCACACACACACGAGTGGGGAGCGTCATGGAGCGCGTGCTCCCTAGCCACAGTTCGGAAACCCAGACGTGCCGTCTTTCTCCTCAAAGTGGTACTATTTGTCCTGTTTGCAAAGAATTGTTTCTCTTACGAAAAGATGGACCAGAATTGCCTCCAATGTTGTTTATAAAATCAGGTCTGTGTTCCTGTGTCTTCCAAAAAACGGCTCTTGTTTAAAGCAGGGTCTGTCTCTATTGCTTAGGCAGGGTTGGCCATCATCTCAGATGGCGGCATCCTCGTTGGCGCAGATTGTGTTGGGGGCTGGTTGTTTGTGGGGGCCTTTAATATTCAGCTGGGAAATACTGTTTTGATTGCGGCATTCTGCCCGCTGAGTTGTGATACTGCATCCATCATCTTGTTCAAATAAATAGCGCCATATCTATATGTTGGAATGAATAAATAAACGTCCTGCAGCAGGGAGGTTGGGCTGGAAACCAGAGGCCCACGATGCTCTTTGCTGGCTTTGAAATGCCCTTGCAAAGTATTGAAAATTTACCAGCCCACAAAGAGTCTTTTAAATCTCCTATTCCTTGCTACCACCAGCCCCCCAACCAAGAATACAAGAATATGTGGCCAGCAGAGTTCTTTATGTAGTTGGCATTGGTTTTTATGGACCCCGATTGAATTTGAAATTGTAAGGCTGAGAGAGGATTTGCAAAACATTTGAATACATTTTGCTCACGGGATTGTTTTGTAACTGGGAGGAATTTATCTTTGTAGCCAATCAGGTTAAGGTCAGTCAATTTGGTTTTTAAAAACATGAAGCCTGGAAGCCCGGAATGAATAGCTGTCGTGTAGTGGCCTCATCCCCTTTTTGGGAAAATGTAGGTGAGAAATGTGAGTCCTCCCCGTCACTGACAGGTTTGAAACTAGCCGTCAGAGTTAGACAAGTGTGCTTGGAAAGCGATGCCCGACCGCAGCGCCCGGGCAGGGAGCATGACCGGCATTGTGTGTGTTCCGTCCCCGCAGCCTCACAGAACGAGGTTCCTGCAGCACCCCTGGAAGAGCTGGCCTACAGACGGTCACTTCGCGTGGCTCTGGATGTTCTGAGCGAGGGGCTTGTGTGGAGTCAAGAAAGCTCCGCAGACACGAGTAGAGCTGAGCGGTCTCCGAGAGGGAAGCCCACGGAACCCGTCTCCTCGCCCTGTGATTCCAGCTCCTCGTCTCCTCCCGGCGGAGGCGCGTTGGGCAGTTCCGGACCTCACAGAAGGAGGGAATGTGTGCAGCAAAGCCTGTCAAGGCCGTTCACTTGTGGAAAGGACCCCAAGTGCAAAGTGGACCACAAGAAGGGACTCAGGAAAAGTGACAGCCCTAGAGGCCTTTCGGTCCTCTCAGCTGGAGGTGGTTCCCAGGATGGGAGCCAGTCCAGAATCCACCGCAAAAATTGGACTCGCACAAGTAAGAGCGGAAGAGACTCAGCACGGAAGTCCAGCCTGTGCCCCAGTGGGTCTTCCCGTTCAGAGAGTGAAGCGGAGGACAGTGGGAGCAAGGCAGGCCGCTGGGCAGCTCCGTCCTCGCCCTCTGGGGTCAGGGAAGACGACCCCTGTGCCAACGCCGAGGGACGCAATCCCGGTCTGCCGTCAGGCAGCCTCACCGTGCCCCCAGCCCCTGAGCCCTCAGCCTGCTCGGAGCCAGGCGAATGCCCTGCGAAGAAGAGGCCACGCTTGGATGGCAGCCAGAGGCTGCCTGCCTGGCAGCTGGAGCCCAGGGCCGCAGGGGCTGCACCGTCCCCTGGGCCAGAGGTGGGGCCCAGGGAGTCCACGACCCTGCGAAGCACTGCCAGTCTCCGCTCGCCTCCCTCCCACGCCCCTATGGATGAAACTAGACGTCCTCAGCCGGATTCCCAGAAGCTGGAGGAAGGTAAAAGTTTCTCATGGAGGAGGACAGCATAGAGGGTGGAGTCCTGCTCCTCCCGCAGCCAGATTGGGAAGCCAGGCACGCGCGCATTTTTAACCAGATCTTAATGAGATCATTACTGAAATAGACTTAGAGCAGAGACTTCCTTCTTCCTTTTTTGTCTGTCTCCCCACTGGGCTATAATTACTTCACCTTCTCCCAAATATTAGTATTTTTGTTTTTGTTCAGAAGCGCAGGGAGTCAGGTGCGTGGGGAGTCCGTGGAGGGGTGGATGGGCCACGATTGTCTGCGGCGGAGCTGGGAGCATTGTGGCTGTGCCGAGGCTGAGGCTGCGCCCCGAGGATTAACCCTTTCGTTAACTGTTACAGAAGCAATAACGCACTCCCATTACATTGGGCAGGAATCTCAAAGTGATTAACTCACTCAAAAGCCTTCTGACTTTTTCAGAATTCATGTGCAGATATATTTTTGTGTGGTTGCAGGCAAGCACTGTGATTTGTTTCCTTTAATATTGTAGCATACCTTAATTTTGAAATGCGAGTTCTGAAGTCATGATTACTGCATGATCAAATGTCTGGAAATCTACATGCTACTCGCTGCGTAGATTTCAGGCTTGATTCTGAACTTCTTTGCTGAGGCCGCCATCTCCTTAGCATGGTGGAGCGGCCGGGAACTGAGGTGGCCTGTCTGCCATGCTCCGGAAATGACAAAAGTGTCTGAAGGCGAAGTGGCCGTACCCGGCCCGGCTCCACAGTCAGCTCCTGTCCCAGCCCTCCCTGCGTACCCACTGAGCGCCTCAGATGTGAATGGGTAGCCGGGCCGGGACAAGGGGATTCCCACCCAGAGTGTGCGCAGCTTCTGTGGCTGAGGTCGCTGCTGCTTACGGCCCGCCTTCCCTTCACGTTCACCGCAGGCCTCTCTCCCTCCCTCCCTCTCTTGTTTTTCTTGAAAACGTGGTTTATCAGAAGCGCACTCTATTTGGCAGTGTGGAGTTATGTGTAGCACGGAGCCTTTTCTTGATGCATTGATGGTCATGTGTCATGAAATGTTTTCTTGGGATGAGTCATCAAGACAGTGCAGTGATGATGAAAGTCTAATATCACGTTATTGGCAGACTGCCAGTCTTCTGAAGTGTCTGTGAGGTCGAATTCGATGCATTCTATACTGGAGGAAGACGAGGAAGATGAGGAACCACCGAGAATCCTTTTATACCACGGTAAGCAATGAGCTGGGAGCGCGCCTGCAGCCCTAACGATGCGCCCAAAGGCAGTGTGGGCTGTGGTTCTGAGACCGTGCCTGCCGTCCTCCACCAAAGGGCTCCTGCTAGTTCATTGCTCTCCCACTGAACCGAGACCTGGAAGGGACCTTCAGAAGTGCCACGTTGTCAGTCCCGTATCTTAAGCATAACCTACACAAAGGGAAGAGGGACTCCTGGGAAGAGACGGCCCAGCCCTCCCTGTTAGAGCGCTACTCCTGTCACTTACCTCAAGCCCTCGTCCTCCTGTCCACTTGCTGGGAATGAAGGACGGCCCGGTGAGCCGAGGGGCTGTGTCGCCATCGCTTGGGTGTGGCCATGGCGCTGTCTCGAGGCCTCTGTTGGCGATGGCATTTGGAGGGGCCGTCCAGGGGGAGAAGTGCTCCCGGCCTCTCCTATAAGTAGCTGCCTGCACAGGAGGGAAACCTGCTTTTAGGTGCTGCTGAGCAGCTACGTGGAAGGGACTAGAAATGAGAGACCCAGGGATCTGAACCAGCCATGAACAGAAAGTCAGCTTTTCGAACCAAGTCATGAGATCCAGCCCCGCTTCAGACTTGCCCATGAAGCATTCATCTCAACTAATCTTGCTTTTCTTTAACCTTCTAGTTTCAAAATAATTGTAGATTCACAAAACAGTTACGGGTAGTACAGGGAGGGCTGCGGGCCTCTCACCCGGGCTCCCCCGCCGGCAGCACCCGGAAGACGTGGGGTGCCTCCTGGCCAGGAAGCTGGTGTGGGTGCAGCCACAGGAGCGCCAGTTCCCGCACACTTGAGCGCCTGTGGACTTGTTATGTCGTTTCTTTTTTTTGTCCAAGCCGTTTGAGTGCATTTCCATCATTTAATGAGCTTCATTACAGTTTCACATTTTCCTTTTTTTTTTTTTTTTTGCCTAATGCTAATGGTCAGACTTTTGAACAGTTTTCCACATGCTCTTCGGATCCCTTTCCTTTGGGTGAGGAGTTGCCACTCACCAAACCCTGCCCTACCCACTGGGCACCTGCCTGGATGGTCGGGGATCGCAGGTGCTGTGGGGCACTCACCGGGGCTTCCAGGAAATCATCTCTGCAGGATCAGTTCACACAGGAAGAGCACAGTGCCCTTGGGAAGGCCCTTTCCCACCACGCCGCCCCACAGGGTCAGGTCACCAGGCCTCACAGAGCCCATGCTGGCTGGCTTCTGGCCCAGTGGGAACTGGGTTTTGCTCCCGTTTGGTTTTGCTTCCTGCCAGGCTGGCCGTTTTTTGAGCCCTGGCCGGCCTCCGAATTGGCTGCCTGTCCACGTGGGCCTGGAAGTTTCTCTTGAAGACCGAATGCCCCTGACGGGGTAAACAGCGCTGCCCTGTGTTCGCAGCAGGCTCCCTCCCCAGTTGCCTCCCTTCTCCGCTCACGTTGGTTACATTACAGGCCTGCAGGTTTTCATCTGCGTCCGCGTCCGGCGGCACTTCCCTCCCTCCGCTGTCTGTCAGCCACACAGAGGCTTCATGTGTCTAAGGACAGCCAGTTGCCAATAGTTTTTCTAATACTTCAGTTTTAAAATTGTAAACCATTCCCTCATTTTTTGGCGTTGAAAATATTCATAAATAGTTTTCTAGTTACGATTTAAACAATTTTATTATTTTTGACCCTAGTTTCTCAGAACCCCCTTTAGAAATTCAGTCCCCGTGTTGGGCTCTTTTCCACGCGCCGTTGCCTCACTTCTGTTGTGTGCCACTCTTTTTAAAAAGTGTCCTCCTGTGGAGTGACTTTAGAGTTAGAGAAATTGCACACAGAGGACGGAGCCACTGCCACCCCTCATGGCACCCTCGAAGCCCCAGGATGCCTTTGTCACAGCTGAGAACCCAGCGCTGCAGCTTTCTCAGAACTGCTGTGGTTTTGTTCTGTGGTCTCATCATTGGCGGTGAGACTCAGGTCCTGTGGGTTATGAATCTGCCTTGCAAATTCTCCTTTTCAGTGAATTACATTTAAGTTAAGTTTAGACACTATCTCGGTAACTGTTTTCTCGGTCTGTTATACCCAGGGTTTGATGTGGATTTGACTTGTCTATTCTTTTTTTGTTGTTTTTCTTTTTTCTTTCTTTAATTCTAGAACCACGGTCGTTTGAAGTAGGAATGCTAGTCTGGCTTAAATATCAAAAATACCCCTTCTGGCCAGCAGTGGTAAGAACAGCTTCCTCCATCTTCTAAGATGTAGTTAGTCAAATTTCATGAATTTTTATTCCGCTCCTACTCAGTTCTTGACAATTTGTCCCGGACAAATGTTTTCATTATTTTGTTTTTCCTGGGAAAAGTTGGTGGGTTTATACAAAAGACTTCTGGAGATGTTTGTACCTAAATAAAGGCACAGTGGAGGTGGTGTTTATAGGCCACATTTTCAGCCAAGCAGGCTTAGAAAGACCTGCTTGAAAAAAATATTTGTGGCCTGGCGTGGTGGCCCATGCCTGCAATCCCAGCACTTAGGGAGGCCAGGGTGGGTGGATCACAAGATCAGGAGTTTGAGACCAGCCTGGCCAACATGGTGACACCCCCATCTCTAACTAAAAATACAAAAAATTAGCCTGGTATGATGGTGGGCGCCTGCAATCCCAGCTACTGGGGAGGCTGAGGCAGGAGAATTGCTTGAACCCGGGAGGTGGAGGCTACAGTGAGCCAAGATCGCATCACTGCGCTTAGCTGGGCAACAGAGCAAGACTTTATCTGGGAATGGGGGAAGGAAAAAGATTGTGATTCACTCATTTTCAGTACTGTGCGTTTCACCCAGTTTTACCCCATTAGAGCTCATTCATTCGGACGTTGTGGGGTTGGTTGCATGCATCCAGATAGGTATTTGAAATCCTGTCCAAGTTCCCAGTGTGGGTGATGAGTTGAGGCAGGGGCAGATTCTCCACTCCCGTCTTGCAGGCCTGCAAGTTGCAGTCATTAGTTTGGGTGTTGTCGTGGGCACGGGTGCTGTCCTGGCCCTCACCTCTGCTTCCTGTTTTACCTTTTTTTCCCTTTATTCTCCTAAGAGACAATAATGTTTAAATCCGAAAGGCGTTTGCTCTGCAGTAATCCGGAGATGATTTTGTTGCTCTAATGACCGACCTCACCCAGGTCACCCAGGCTCCTTGCATGTGACTGATTATGGTCCCAGACACCTTAGGATTGAATCAGTGCAGTGTTTGCTGGGGAGGTTAAGCATGTTTATGGCCGAGCTGGCCTCGTGTCGCCTGTTGGCTGGCGGTGTTGGAGGCCAGGCTTCTGGGCCCTCTGCCCTCCCTCAGCACTGGCTTCCCCTCCCGCACCTTGCTAGTCTTCCCTTGTTTTCATCAGTTTCTGGGGCCCCTGCTGGGTTAACAGGTCACTGCTGTGACAGGTTCCTGGGGCATAAGAGCTGGCGGCCTCCCGGAGGGCAGAGCCGTTGGAGGCGCTGGTTGCTGGCGCTTCTCGCTGCCTTCTCAGGGTGGCCCCGGGAGGCCAGGCCTGGGGGGGCTGGGGGGAGGTGGCAGCACCATGCAGTCCCCCACCCCTCCCCATGTGGCCTGGACTTGTTCCTGAGCCTTTCTGCGGTCACTCCACTCACCCAGAGCGTGGAGGATACACCTGCCCTGCTGGGCGGCTGGGAGAATCGGTCAGGATGCTTACTTAAAGAGGCAGCTGGCAGTGGTAGTGTGGTTCTTTTTATTTAAAAACCCAAACAAAACCGGCTGATTCCGCTCAGAAGGGAAAGCATTTAAGTGATGCGTGAGGCCATTTCTCAGCGCTTCCTTTCGAGAGACTTCGCCAGGGTCATCCCCAGAGCTGGGGCAATGCCTCTTAACATGTAGCATGTCAGAAAAAATGTTTAAGGTCCACGATCTCTTTTTTGTTTTGACATTTTATTTTCTTGGATTTGTGTACAGGTCAAAAGCGTCCGGCGGAGAGAGAAGAAAGCAAGTGTGCTGTTCATCGAAGGGGACATGAACCCGAAGGGGAAAGGGTAGCGCTGCTCTGGTTTCTGAGGACGGGCCGGGTGGTGGGCTGGCCGCTCTCAGAGCGGGCGTGGGGACGAGGGGCAGACGGGAGACCCCAGCACGAGTCCAAGCCTGGGCAGGGCTGGCGGGGTATCACTGGAGGTGTGCCCTTCCTGTGACCTCTCACTGGCTGGGAAGGATAAGTCGGACAAAGGCTGTGTGTGAAGGATCTGGTCAGACACTCCAGTTTTCACAGCTTGATTTGCCGGCTTTGAAAGAGCCCAACCAGATGCTCACTGAGGCCCCGTTTCCCACAAACTGTAGCAAAATGTGGTCCAGGCAGGTGTGCAGACAGCCTCCCAGCCTCCACCTGAGTTTGCCCCTGGGTTACCTGGTCGGTCCTTAGTCATGGGATGAGAACACACGTAGCTGGATCAGCTGGCCGAAAGCAGCCTTCAGACCATCTCACTACATGCTGCAAATTTGAATGCACAGAACCGGTGTCTTCTGACTCCTGGTACTTCTGAGCTGCCCCCGAGGGGTGGGAGGTGTGGCGAGACCAGGCCTGCCTGACTTGGGGGGGCCCAGTGAGTATCGCCAAAGTCACTGGACCCACCGTGATGCATTGAGGACTCCAGGGGCTTCTTGGCAGCTGGGGAAGCGGTCACCTTCCTTAAATAAGCTGGGGCTGGCGGGGCCTGCAGCCGCCTCCACTGATCTATCAGAGGCAGGGAAAGAGTTTTGGCTAATTAGAGGAAGTTCATTCATGTTAACTTTTCCATCTCTCTGCTTCCAGTATCACAGTGTCCCTTAGAAGATTAAAGCACTTTGATTGTAAAGACAAACAGACACTTCTGGTAGGTGGATTATGATTTGTGCTTGCTTCTTTAAAGGTTGATTTTGTGATTAGTAAACATGTCCTCTGTGTAGCTCTGGAAACCATGGCTGCGCTGTGCGTGTGATTGTTGGTGCGAGTAGCAGAGCCGGGCTGCGTTCTGAGTTAGAGCGTGGGCTCAGTCACTGCACTGAATTCTCACAGTTGCCCTAGGAAGTTGCGGCCCCATTTCCCCACTTGACAGGTGAGGAAGCTGAGGCTCTGGCGGGGACAGTTTGCCCAGGGCCACCAGGCAAGGCTGCAGTGGAGAGCCCCTGCACAAGGCCACTGCCTTCTCTGGCTGACTGTTCTCAGTCCACCCCAGGGCACACGTGCCTCTGTAGCCAGCCCCTTGAGGTCGAAGGCGTCCCTAGTTCAGCATGCCCTCAAGTGCCACGGTGAGCCTAGCCTATGCCATGTGGCGCATCAGCTTGCCGCAGAGCGGATCCCCGTGCCCCGGAGCGGCAGCCAGCTTTCATGACGTGCTGTCGATGAGCTGCAAGGGGCTTGTCTAACTCAGAAATATCTGTTTCCCCTCTGGAAATACCCATTTTGTTGTAGCGACTTTGAACACCAACTTGTCAACTCAGTGCAATTATTTTTACTTCTCTGGAATCCGGTGTTCAGCCTTTCCTAGGTTTTGCCATTACAGCTGAGCCCAAAATGAACATCTTCCTGTCTGTTCCCACATTATCTCCTGAGACAACAGGCAGGGCCGAGGCCGTCCGGGCGGACTCTTGTGACGTGTGCTGTTTTCTGGTGTCTTGACAGTGTCATGGCGAGCGCATGCTTTGGGCGTGGATGGCTTTTTCTTTCCCTAACCTTGTGAGATTGGCACTGTGTCTGTCCTGAGCTTTTCCTTGTACGTCAGTAACCCGCGTTTCTCTGAGGCGGTGACCCTCACTCCCTGCCTGTCACTGATGTGGGTTTGTTCACTGCAGCCCGAAGGTGCTGGGGGAGGGCACAGACCAAGCAGGAGCCGGGCCTGCCTGACCTGAGCTTGCCTCCTGCTCTGAGAAGTGTCGTTTCTGGCACGAGGCGCTGGCTCACGCCTATGATCTCAGCATTTTGGGAGGTCCAGACAGAAAAGATCACTTGATCTTGGGAGTTCAAGACAAGCCTGGGCAACATACAGAGACCCTGTCTCTACAAAAAATAACAGAAATTAGTAGGCGTCCTGCTACTCAGGAGGCTGAGGTGGGAAGACGTTTTGAGCCGAGGACCTGGAAGCTGCAGGGAGCCGAGATGGCGCCACTGCACTTCAGCCTGGGCGACGGCGAGACACTTTCTCTAAAAATTAAACACGGTGTCTTTTCCACTTTCAAGGATCTGAATTACTTTCTAAAAATGGAGGAAGGTGTGCGCTGAGGAGGACAGTAGGAAGCTCCGTACCTTAGAAGGGCTGCAGTTTATAGGCCGGGCGCGGTGGCTCACGCCTGTAATCCCAGCACTTTGGGAGGCCGAGGCGGGTGGATCACGAGGTCAAGAGATCGAGACCATCCTGGTCAACACGGTGAAACCCCGTCTCTACTAAAGCTACAAAAAATTAGCTGGGCATGGTGGCGCGTGCCTGTAATCCCAGCTACTCAGGAGGCTGAGGCAGGAGAATTGCCTGAACCCAGGAGGCGGAGGTTGCGGTGAGCTGAGATCGCGCCATTGCACTCCAGCCTGGGTAACAAGAGCGAAACTCCGTCTCAAAAAAAAAAGAAAAAAAAAAAAAAAGAAGGGCTGCAGTTTATAACACAAAGCCTATGTTCTGAGAGCACAGGGCGCCAGCTCCCTTCTGAGAGAGCGCGCGCTCACACCTGCTGGTGCAGTCAGGTGTGGTGGGCCTGAAGCCCACTTTATTCTGGGGTAGTCAGTGGCTTCCGAGGAAGGGTGTTGGGAAAGCCGCGCGTTAGGAAGGTGCAGGAGCTGCTGGGGCGGCAGAGAGCGGTGTCCACTGGCCTTGGGATACACTGATGGTGCACTTTGTTCCCGGTGGCCCTCGGCTCCGGTGTTCCCTGGGTCATTTTGTGGTGGTCGTGGCTTTGTGGCATCTGTGGGGCTGCTATGTCGTTTTCTGAGGACCCACCTGGCTGCCAGCTCAGGTGCCTGCCTAGCCTGGCCGCAGTCAACAGCCCCCAACAAAAACGTCTCTGAGGGCAGCGTATTTCCAAGACTTCACATATTGTCATAGGGCACATGGAGGTGTTTCCACTGTGGATGCCTTCAGACTGGGCCAAGGCGCTGCGTCCCCTGCGACCCCCGTTTGAGAAGCCCAGGGCCCAGACCTGTGTCTGGTGTGTGTCCTGCTGATCAGGGCATTCCCACGCGAGGCATCTGCCAGCCCCCTTTGTCAGGGAGGATCAGAGGTGTGCGCTGGAGGGCTGGGCGGCCTGGACACATGGCTAGTCCCTGCGTGGCTTCTGAACCCAGGGTGCTTGGTGCTGCCTCCCTCTGACGCCTACCACCCGGGTCTCCTTGTAGAACCAAGCCAGGGAGGACTTCGACCAGGCCATCGGCTGGTGCGTCTCCCTCATCACCGACTACAGGGTCCGGTTAGGTACGCGGGGTGCTGGGGGCATGGCCCCTCCAAGGGTCAGGGCTGGAGCTGCCTGGGGGCGAAGCATGTCTCCGTGGCCCTGGGGTATTCCCTGTGGGTGGGCTGGGGTTCTGGCCTGGCCTGATCATTTCCTAAACAGAGACGCCAGGGTGACCCCTGGAACGTGCTTCCCGGGAGTCCTCTTAACGTCTACACACTGCTGTCTCCCCTGCACTCCCTGCAGGCTGCGGGTCTTTTGCCGGCTCTTTCCTGGAATATTACGCAGCTGATATAAGTAAGTCTGCAGGCACATCTTGGAAAGTGTGGTCTGCCTTTTAGCCCTTTAGAAAAAAATAGCCTTTTATGTCTAAAGCTGTGGAAGGGGACTTTGGGGTCAAGGCACTGTCCACAGCCACCCGGCATTGTGCAACCCTACCAGGTTTTGATGTGACCCCTGAGGCTCCCTGGGACCTGGGGCTGCTGGTATCCCCGGTGCAGCTTCTGAAGCCTGCCCTGGGGCCCTCATCCCATGGGCCACAGCTACCCTGTCCTAGCTGTGGCTGGTGGCTGTGCACCTCAGATACTCTTCAGAATGTAGGCCAGGTGTGGAGGCTCACACCTGTCATCCCAGAACTTTGGGAGACTGACGTAGAAGGATTGCTTGAGGCCAGGAGCCCTGGACTAGCCTGGGCAACAGAGCAAGACCCCATGTCTACAGAATAATATAGAAAAAAGTGATCTGGCCTGCGGCACGCACGCCTGCAGCCTCGGTTGCTGGGGAGGGAGAGGTGGGAGGACGGCTTGGTGACTTGTGTGACTGCACCACTGCTCTCCAGCCTGGGGGACAGAGCGAGACCTTGTTTCAGAAAGAAAGAGAATGTGCCACGAACAGCAGAACGTTTGGCCAGCATGTCATTGTTGGTCCAGCATTTTCCGTTCTGGACAGCAGCGGGGTTTTCCATTCCTCTCAGCTGGTAGAGGGGTGGACGAGGCTGAATTGATTCTTCTTGGGCAGTGCTGCATGGGCAGGCGCTTTGCTCTGCTCTAAGGGCCAGTGAGCGGAGAAAGGCTGGGGGTCCTAGCAGAGGAGGGGTCTTGAGGACCATGAATGCACCACACCTGCGCTGATGTGGAGCTTGAGCACTAGGGTCTACCCCCACCACTGCGTGTTGCAGCCTCACTTCAGCCCTGACCCACGCCGCGTGGTAAGGAGCCCACGCGCTGGTCCCGCCACACGTGCTTCCTTTGCAGGCTATCCTGTCCGAAAATCCATCCAGCAGGACGTCCTGGGGACCAAGTTTCCTCAGCTGAGCAAGGGGAGCCCCGAGGAGCCGGTGCTGGGAAGCCCCCTGGGGCAGAGGCAGCCCTGCCGGAAAGTGCTCCCTGACCGCTCTCGGGCTGCCCGGGACCGGGCCAACCAGAAGCTGGTGGAGTACATCGTGAAGGCCAAGGGCGCAGAGAGCCACCTGCGGGCCATCCTGAAGAGCAGGAAGCCATCGCGCTGGCTGCAGACCTTCCTGAGCTCCAGCCAGTACGTGACCTGCGTGGAGACCTACCTGGAGGACGAGGGACAGCTAGACCTGGTGGTGAAGTACCTGCAGGGCGTCTACCAGGAGGTGGGCGCCAAGATGCTCCGGCGCACCAACGGCGACCGGATCCGCTTCATTCTGGATGTGCTTCTGCCCGAGGTAAGCCGCGGACTGCTGTGGCGTGCGCACAGAGGGGCCTGTGCCAGGACTTCCCAGAACCTACCTGAGGTGGCTGCCATGGTGCTCGCCCCTGCCCGCTGCCTGTCGGTGGCGATGGAGCAGGAGGCCTCGTGTGTTTACATCCCGTTGGCGCTGGGAAGTGGGAGTGCCGTGCACCTGGCCCTTTGCACACACGGAACCGCTTAGATGCTGTTGGGGCCAGGGAGTGCGAAGCTCCCTCCCCACCGTGGGCGCACAGATGCCCCCCAGCCTCAGTGGGTCAGCCCTGTTGAACCCATGGGGAGTGGGAAATTCAGAATCACATTTAGTGCCCAGGTAAACCCATTGTAATTTGAAAAATGGAACATCGATGATACATTTAACACTCTGATAAACCCATGGTAAGTAAAAATAGCAGAAATTCGTTCGTCTGTGATCTTGAACTTCTGGGGATTTGGGGCTTGGTGAGGAGCAAATACAGATTGTTTTCAAGTTTGTATCTGAAATTTCAGAGAGGACACTGCTGGGCATATGTGTACATCTGTGGGAAAAAATACTCAAAACTATTTAATTTTCTAAGTATGGGAATTTTCAAATACGTACAATAAGAAAATAGCATCGTGAACTCTGATGTTCCGTAACCTGCTGGGAATGAGTTTTGGAGCATAGAAGACCTCAAGCGTTTTTTTAACCCATAAATACTTTAGTGTGTGTCTCTAAAAGGAGGATGACTCCCCTGGGGACACTGGCAGCGTCTGGGCACATTTGTGCCTGTCACAGCCTGGGCGCTTCTGGCAGGGAGTGGGTCGGGGCAGGGACACTGCTTGATGACACCCTGCAGTGACCAGGACGCCCAGCCCAGAGAACAGCCCGGCCTCAGTGTCCACAGGGCCGAGCGGGAGAGACCCTGCTCTCAACCGGACGGACTGTGTTGAAATGGCTTTGCCATAATCACAATACCAAAAAATAGGACTGACTCCTTAACACCTGGTTACATCTGGTGGTTAGTGTGGATTCAGGATACTCCCTTTTTTTTTTTTTTAATACAATAAACTTAAAAATTTTCAGAAATGCACTTGTGGGTTTGGGTTTTGCCTTTCATTCTTGGCTTTTAGTGACCTGAGCTGTTTCTAGTCCAAAAGAGAATACTGATTTAATTAAGAGACATCGTTACGGGCCGGGCATGGTGGCTCACGTCTATAATCCCAGCACTTTGGGAGGCTGAGGTGGGCGGATAACAAGGCCAAGAGATTGAGACCATCCTGGCCAACATGGTGAAACCCCGTTTCTACTAAAAACACAAAAATTAGCTGGGCATGGTGGTGCGTGCCTGTAGTCCCAGCCACTACGGAGGCTGAGGTAAGAAAATTGCTTGGAACTTGGGAGGCAGAGGTTGCAGTGAGCCGAGATTGCACCACTGCACTCCAGCCTGGGCAGCAGAGAAAGACCCCGTCTCAAAAATAAAGGAAACATCATTAGAAGCAGGTTCGTGGATGAGGTTTGCACCTTCTGAACCATGAGCTAGACCCTGTGTGGAGGCCAGAACCTGGTGACCCGGGCTCACTGCAGCCTCGTCAGCCGCATGCCTCCTGGGGCCTGATGGGCAGCGCCGGCTGCTGCTGACCCCGCAACCTCTCACAGGCCATCATCTGTGCGATCTCTGCGGTGGACGAGGTGGACTACAAGACAGCTGAGGAGAAGTACATCAAGGGGCCCTCGCTGAGCTACCGGTAGGCTGCTCCCGGCGCTGTCTGCTGCCGCTACGTCTCTGCCTGACAGGCTCTGCTTCCACACCCACTGCTGCAGCCCCTCTCCCTCGTGTGGTGGCCCAGGTGCTGGGTGGTGAGCTGATCACACACGCTGAACATGCCCCTTGGGTCTCTCTCGCCCTCCAGGAAGGCTGGCCACAGCCCGGGTCTTCCAGCTGGTCGCCGTGGGCAGCGCGGGGCCACGGGCGCGTGCCTCGGCCGTGTGCCTCGGCCGTGTCTGTTCTTAATCTCTTTTTGCAGGGGGCTGGTGTTTGTATTTGGAACTTTCCTCCCAGTGTCTGCAGCGCCATGGCTGTGTGAGGAATACAGCGAGATTAAGCAGCAGCAGGGCCCGGCGTTTTCCAGCAGCCAGAAGAATGCTGTGATCAAGATGTTTCTCTCACGTCCGTGTGCTTAGCCGCCCTTGGGTATTTGGCCCCCAGAGTGCCTAATCCTGTCTCTGGGCACGCGGCCAGGCCTTGCTAGGAGCCAGGCGGGGCCCACAGGGCAGTGACAGGCTGAAGACTCAACTAGAGTCAAGGATGGGGTGTCCGGCCAGGGCGGCTCGCCCGGCCCACAGTCACACAGCACTCGTGGTGAAGATGCTGAGCTCCCTCACCAGCCCTGTGTCCTCCCTAGGCAGGGCAGGAGGGGCCACTGGGGAGGTCAGGGAGAAGGAGGTATGGGGCCTCGGTGGCGTTGGCAGGCACCCCTACAAAGCTGTCCATAGGTGGGATTTGGCTTCATTTAGGGAGTGTTGGCCCAGCTGGCTTACCGAAACAGGAGAGGCCTTTGGAAACAGAAACTGGTGTTTGCCTGCTGGATCTCATGGTCCCAGCCTGTCAGGCTTGAAGTGAGGTCCAGGACACCCGCACCCACCCTGAGGGTTTGTCCTCCCATTTCAGAAGCCTCGTAACCAGTCCTCTCCTGTCTGTGGCAATCTTCCATCCTCCTGATTTTTTTTTTTTTTTTTTTTTTTTTTTGAGTCTGGGTTGGCAACATCAAAATCCACTAGGGGTTCTTCATGGCTTACGATTACCAAAAAAACCTTCAGCGAACTGGGAGAAATGGTGTTTGGTGCGTGATGAAGTGAATTCGGTTGAATACACAGGCCATGGTTTTATCACGCCAGGGATGTGGTTGAAATAACGCGACCAGTGAGTGGTGTTGCGTCTGATCTTTGGCCTCGGTGACACCTTGGGTCACACGTTGGGTGTCCTGGGACCCAGTCCCCGGCCCCTGTGATGCCTTCCCGGTGTTTCCCAGGCCCTCCTGTTGTTCTTGAGAGTTGCTCCATGAGCCAGCCTACACTCCTCCCGAGGCCGTCCTCGGGCTGCCCCTTAGCCCGCCGCAGCTGGCATGCTCCCGTTTTCCGCCTCAGCTGGGGTGCGCATCAGAGCCAGCAGCCCGTTTCTCTCTCTCCATCCAGGGCAGCCCTGTTCCTGAGAGGGGTTGCTAATTAAGCAGTTGTTAATTTAATTTTCCTTTATAGGAGGTCCCTTAATAAGGACAGTTTGGCATCTCATACTCTTTCATAAAAAATTGTTAATGATGCACAATGGCTCACGACTGTGATCCTAGCACTTTAAGAGGCTAAGGTAGGACTGCTTGAGCCCAGGAGTTTGAGACTGCAGTGAACCATCATTGCACCACTGCACTGTAGCCTGGGTGACAGAGCAACACCGTCTCTAAAAATATTATTTTAAAACATTGTTAAATACACATATCGTAAAAGTTACCGTCTTAACCTTTTTAAGTGTACGGTTCGATGGCAGTAAGCATGTTCACCCTGCTGTGCAGCAGGCACGGCTGTCCATCTCAACTGCTCATCTCTCAGACTGAAGCTCCGGCCCCGTCAAACAACTGCCCTCTCTCATATGTACATGCATACAGGCACACACACACACTCCGGCCCTGTCAACTGCCTCCTCTTATGTGCGCGCGTGCGTGTACACACACGCACACACACACGTGCACACACACACACACGGAGTCTTGCTCTGTTGCCCAGGCTGGAGTGCAGTGGCATGATCTCTACTCACTGCAATCTGTTTCTCCCGGGTTCAAGTGGTTCTCCTGCTTCACCCTCCCCGAGTAGCTGGGACTGCAGGTGTGCACCACCATACCTAGGTGGTTTTTGTATTTGTAGAGATGGGGTCTTGCTGTGTTCAGGCCTGTCTCAAACTCAGGCCTCCAGCAATCCTCCTGCCTTGGCCTCCCTTGGGATTAAAGGCGTGAGCCACTGCACCTGGCCCTCTCATTTTTTTTTTTTTTTTTTTGAGACGGAGTTTCGCTCTTGTTACCCAGGCTGGAGTGCAATGGCGTGATCTCGGCTCACCGCAACCTCTGCCTCCTGGGTTCAGGCAATTCTCCTGCCTCAGCCTCCTGAGTCGCTGGGATTACAGGCAAGCGCCACCATGCCCAGCTAATTTTTTGTATTTTTTAGTAGAGACGGGGTTTCACCATGTTGACCAGGATGGTCTCAATCTCTTGACCTCATGATCCACCCGCCTCGGCCCCCAAAGTGCTGGGATTACAGGCTTGAGCCACCACGCCCGGCCATATTTTTCTTTTATTTTTTGAGATGGAGTCTTGCTGTGTTACCTAGGCTGGAGTGCAGTGGTGCGATTTCGGCTCATTGCAGCCTCTGCCTCCTGGGCTCAAGTGAGTCTCCTGCCTCAGCCTCCCCAGTAGCTGGGATTATAGGTGCCTGCCACCATGCCTGGCTAATTTTTGTATTTTTAGTGGAGAAGATGTTTCAACATGGTGGGCAGGCTGGTCTTGAACTCTTGACCTCGTGATCCTCCCATAGTGCTAGGATTACAGGCGTGAGTCGCTGCACCTGGTCTCTTTCTCATCATCTTTAACACACAATGATTAACTGCTAAAATGAAGTATCTTGTTTTCTGAAGGGAAAAAGAAATATTTGACAACCAGCTCCTTGAAGAGCGGCGCCGGCGATGATGGAGCAGCTGGCTGTGCGTCAGCGGGAGCCTGGTGGAGGGAGCGCCTCTGGTGTGCACGAGCGTTTCTGAAAATGGGGGACTCGGGGGAGCACGTTCGCTTTTGGAGCCGTCTGTGTTCTCCTGCGTGGCAGTCCTGATTTCCATACTTCTGGAGAATCCATTTCGTCAACATTGAAAGCCAGTTTTCTTCGGCAATTTTTTTCATTTTATTTTTGGCCTTTTTTTCAAGATACAGTTCCGGAGAGGTTTGGAAAGGACAGAAGCGTGTTTACTGTGCGTCAGTGCTTGTGGCTGTGTGGCGGTTTCACCTGACGTGCATGTTTGTGTCGTGTGTGTTGCATCTCATATTAAATGGAAGGTTTTCAGGTGTGTCTGCCGTGAGCACGGAGCTTCGCAAGTGGGAATGGTCTTTCCGGGTTTGCTGTTTGGTGTCTCCCCCTTGTGTGGTTTCCACCTGCACCGGTTCTGAATCTGCTCTGCCATTCAGCGAGCTCTGCGGCTCTGAGGAATTAGCCTTCGTTAGAGGTGGGAGTGCGCATGGGCCACTGCTCTGTGTTGTGTCTGCTGTGGCCTCAGGAGGAGCAGGACGCGCACCTTTCCAGGGGCCTCTGCACTCTGCGCCATAGGGAGTGGCCTGCAGCGTGCTGCCGTAGGCCAGGCCGCCCCACCGCCCATGCCTGCCTGGCCTCTTCTAGTGAGTGAATTTCCCCCTACTGTGTCGTCACCTCGTGGCCAGTCACCGAGGGCTTGGTCATCGGCCTGGATGGCTGTGCTGGGATCCCAGGGTGGCTGGCATCAGGGTCACCGTGGGGGCCCTGCGTAGTCCTGTGACGGGTCATCACAGAAGCACAGCCTTTGTGGGGAAGTCCAGCTGGGCTCCCGTCTGGAGAAATGGCTTCCAGGATGTGGCTGCCGGATGGGCTCTGGTCCACAGCCCAGAGCCGGGGCCACAGGTTGCTGCTGTGACTCGGTGGGGCTCAGCCAGGCTCCAGCAGGGTCAGAGATTCTTTTAAGGTCCCAGCCACAGATACTGAATTATTTGTTCTCAGTGGCTGCCCAAGGCTGCAGCTGGACCGCAGTGCTGGCGAAGCTTCCAGGCTCCACGGCCCGGCAGCCTGGGAGCTGTTTCTCCCCACTCACTGGACTGTGCCTGACCCTGGCTGGAGGCCTTGCTTTGAGGGGCCGTGGACCCTCCTCCCTCAGGCCCTGCCCAGCTCCTGCAGCCACCGGAGAGCAGATGGGAACACGATTGTCTCTGGGACAGGCAAGGCGCTGAGCAAGATGAAGCTGCAAGGACACTCATATCAGGTCCTTGGAACTTGGGAGGTGGCAGAGATGGCTGCTGCTCGGGAACTGTGATTCTGCTGAAGTCCAAGAGCAGGAAACCCGGCCCTGGCCGGACAGTTGCGCCGGCATGCTGGAGTTCCGTCTTTTCTGAAGCAGAGGGGCAGAGCCCTGAGGAGGCAGGGGGCTGGCCCTGTGCTGTGTCACTCTTTGGGGGACACAGGGCAGCCAGTGCAACCGCCTGCGGAGGGAGCTCAGCAGCATTGCATGTACGGGCCTCGTGCCTTCTCACGGAAAGTCCCCACAGCCGCCCTCCGCGGTGGGTTCCTGAGGGGCGGAGGCAGCGCCGCAGTGTTGCGGGAAGCTCAGGCCCGCGCTGAACTCTTCTGCTGTTGTGAAGTACTTTGATCCGTTTGTTTTTCTGCCGACATTGCCGTGTTTGAGGCGGAATTAAACACCTCCCAGACCTCTTGCTTGTCTTTTCTGAGCCCCAGACACGCCCCGCAGCGTGGGGTGTACAAGCTTGGAAAATGAGAGAGCGACTCTTGCTTGCCCAGGGACACGGCCTTGACCCCGAGGTGGATTCTCGCCTCACTAACGGTCCTAGGGGCGCTGCTTAAACAGCAGCCCGAGGCCGGCGCTGTGGCTCACCCTGTAATTCCAGCGCTGGGAGGCCAAGGTGGGCGGATCACCTGAGGTCAGAAGTTCAAGAGCAGCCTGGGCAACATGGTGAAACCCAGTCTCTACTAAAAATGCAAAACTTAGCCGGGCGTGGTGGCAAGCGCCAGTAAGCCCAACTACTCAGGCGGCTGAGGCAGGAGAATCGCTTGAACCCGGAAGACGGAGGTTGCAGTGAGCCAAGATCACATTACTGCACTCCAGCCTGGGCAACAGAGTGAGACTCTGTCTCAAAAAATTAAACAGCAGCTGGGGCCCCACTGGAGTTCACGCCTGTGGCTCCAGCTACCTGGGAGGATTAGGTAGGAGGATCACTTACTCGGAGGTCAAGGCTGCAGTGAGCCGAGATCACGCCACTGCACTCTTGCCTGGGTGACAGCACCTGTTGGGGAGGGGATCCTTGCAGCAAAGCCCCACCCAGCAGGTGGAACCAGAACCCGTGGTATTCCCACCCCACCCACGCTGTCTGCCCTTGCTGTCCTTTGGGGTCTGAAGGTGACAAGGCCACTGGGGCAGGCCGTGCCTGGGTGCTTCCCTCAGTAATGGATTGTGGGCGCTCTGGGTTGTCAGCCAGGCAGTCGGGTGGGAGTTGGGGGGCTGACCTGACAAGCTCGGCCAGTGAGGAGCACTCCAGGACCCTGAGGATGCCAGTGTGAGGGGTCCTGGGTGTTCCGGGGCTCTCAGGACGCCAGTGGGGGGGGTCCTGGGTGTGCCGGGGCTCTCAGGACGCCAGTGGGGGGGGTCCTGGG